ATGATCTATCTTAAATTTGTCTTTCTTGAGTTTGGGACTATTATGTGTTTAAATAACTTAAAAGGATAAACCTAAATAAGCCCTAAAAAATATTTTTGTGTTTTTAATTCTGATTTCGTCGGAATTGATGAAAACTCCCTAAAATGTGCAATTTATAGAGGAAATTGGCCTACCGTAACAAGAAATGAGATATGAGCGCAAAGAATTTGAGAATTTTAGGCACTTTCAGAGGATGCATTTGTCAAGGGGTGGGGAAAGGTTTTCCAAAGATGGATATTTTCCCTTTGTCTCCACGTGTTTTTAATTCTAATTTCGTTGGAATTGATCAAAACTCCCTAAAATGTGCAATTTTTAGAGGAAATTGGCCCATGTTAACAAGAAATTTGAGGTTTTTAGGCACTTTCAGGGGATGAAAGGGGAATTTATAAAGGGGTGGGGAAGATTTTTCAAAGATAGATATATCCCCTTGTCCCCCAGTGGGTACGCCATCGGGCAGCATAGATCAAAGGAGTTATGACAGTTTTTGAAGTTGAGAAGGGGTTGCAAGGTGTTGTGAGTCTGGTCATTATGATATCTTCCTTTTTATTCTTGTCTTTATTTTTCTCTTCTCTTTTTCTTTTCCCTTCCTTTTCTTTTCCTCTTCTTTCTCTTTCCTTCCCTCTCCCCTCTTTCTTTTCTCTTATTACCCAGCCCGGTACGACGGCTTGGTCAGCCCGGTAAAAACCGTCAGGGGAGGGGCAGTTTGCCCCCCCGCCTGTTACGACACTGGCAAACACGCCAATCATCCCCCCCCCCCCCCCTCAATGAAAAATACTTTTCTACGCCACTGGATGGAGGACCTATACCAACTCAGCCCCACCATGGTTGGGGCTGAGGTAAGAACATTTGTGATTATGACACCTCTAAATGGCCGGGAAATTGTACTCTCAGACTTAAAATTTAAATGTAAATTTAAGTTTACATCACCCTCTTGAATCCGCCACTGAATATCGTCCCTATTCGCCACAGTTGGAAAATGAGACTCTGAATATTGGAGACTTAGAATGAAGCACAAGCGATATATCGAAAATAACGACATTTTTGCTGAAAATATTTTGAATATTTAAGTAATATATTTCATAACTTTAAACCTTAATTTCAGCCCTGTGATTACCATTATATCAACCAATCAAATTATATGGGGAGAGCAGCTTTTTAGCTACCGGTATATTATTGCTTGCATTTGCATAGGTACCATTTGAAATTTATTGGGAATATGCTTTTTTTTTAGGTCACATGATTAGTTTTTAGATCTGAAGCCCCCTGAAGTGATTTTTACGAATTTGGCTGAATTTTATTAGTTAGCAGGAAAGTAGTAGAGAACTGGGGGCTGAGGTTGGTGTGGGTCTCCCGTTGAGAAACTTGGACCCCCATCTGGTGCCGCCACTGGTAAATAGCACTTACTGGAGTGAATGCGGGTGGATGGGGGTATGGAATTTTTAATAATAATCTGCTTTCTTACGGGCCTGGTCCTTGCTCGTACGACGCTTTTTGATAGGGTAAATTTTCTTTGTTTTCAAAAATATATGGGGGACTAGGTGTCGTGTTTTATTTTGTATGTGGTCAGTTTTTGAAAAGTGTCAGGCGAAAAGGTTGTTAGCTTGGTATTTTTCATATTTATTTAATAAAATATGTATTATTAACTTATTTAGCCAAAAAAGTCCTTAAAAATATGTATATTTTTTGGGTAAATTTTCGGTAACACAATTAATATAATGTGTCATCATACACATCATTCGATAGATAGTTTTACTTGCTCTCGTATGATGCCAAATATAAAAAAACTGAATCTTCCAATGACGAACTAGCTTCAAAATACGATTTTTGGGTAAAAACATGTAAAATGTGCCTTTTTTGGTCAAATTTGGCACTTAAATCCAAAATTCAGAGTAGCAACCGTGTGAGGAAAGAGCTGGTGATGAGGATTCACCTTGTTGCCAGCTTGTTAACAGAAGATCCTACAAAAAAAAAAGTATTTGAGCTCTTTCAATCTGATGGCCACCCATTTAATAATAAAAATGGTGAAATAATATTCATTGTAATTATAATTACAACAGTAAAAGTACGAATTAATAATAATAATAATAATAATAATAATAATAATAATAATAATAATAATAATAATAATAATAATAATAATAGTGGTTACATTTCGCTCTTTTTACCTATTTTGATAGACTAGACGTTGTTTTGATGACCTTTCATTATTATTGATATAATAATGCGATTTGTTTATTACTTGAGCTAAGTACTTCCGATATTATGCCTACTTAGTGAATAAAAATATCAATGACTCTCAATTCTATATTTTAATTTTCAATTGCATATAGAGAACGCCATAGAAATTAATTGTTCCACGGGGAATTAAGCGTGAAAATCGTGATGGATCGAACACAATACGTAGACTATAGAACAACGAGTATGTAATCAATATCTGAAGGCTTTCCCGTGAAACGTCATCAATGTGTGTACACAGTAAGATCGACATCAAACTATCGGAATACCGGCGTAACTGAGTACAAAGTCCTATGTCTCTATAGGTCATTACTTTATTTTCTGTACGCTTTGTAGCGTTTACATGCTTCCCTGGTTGGACCAGGTGTCTTCTCGACGGGCATGGACACCGTCTAACTCAACCAGCCCCCCGGCGTTCCGGCGTAGTCCGGAAGGAGTAGCCGCTTGGTGGCTTAAAGAGGAGTTAGCAATGTTAGGGGGACCAGCCCAGATATACTCCAGTGCTATCCATACCGTCCAAAACACAATAACCAATTGCCGAAACATGTTGACAAGTTTTCCAACAGGTAAACATACGACGAAAACAGCAGGTAAGAGACTATTATGATTATTAGAAGACTTATTAATATTGGGCTCGGTATTCCAAACATTAATTTGCCCGAATGAACAAGGCGATCAATGTAAGTACGCACACACCGTTCAAATTAAACATTGCAAGCGACGTTTGCATGACTTGGGAGTGAATAGTATTTCTATGCACTTGACAGCTGGGATAAGTGACATTTGTAAGAAAGATATCTTCTTCCATATCCATGTTTGACTTACTCTTTAAAAACAAAATGCGACACTTCATGACAGCCTTTATGGTTGGGTTGAAACATATACAGTATAACAACAAATGATATTAATAGATTAGGTGACGGATAAGAAAAGAAATATACCATTTAACTTCTTGACTCAATGACTAACGTTACTACTGTTATGATCATTCATTTTTATTATTATTATTATTATTGTTATTATTATTATTATTATTATTATTGTTATTATTATTATTAATTATTATTATTATTATTATCATAATTACCATCATCATCATCATCATCAACAACATCTACACCATCATCATCTTCGTCATCATCATGATTATATCATCATCGTTTTCATTATTTATTATTATTATTATTATTATTATTATTTATTTCAGGTCTATTAGGCTATTAATATAACTACTGAAATGACCTACTATTCTGTAGGCCTCTTACTACTATAATAATAGTAATAATAATGTTTATTACTATTATTTTTTATTATTAACATTATTATTATTAATATTATTATTATTATTATTACCATCTTGGCACATAGTTCTTCCTTTAACAAAAAATGGGGCAACGGAAAAGCTTACCTATAAAACAAATTACTGTAAATTGAATGGTACACTAAGCCTAAACTTAGGGAACAGTTGGCCTACTTAGAATGTCATACAATTTTAACATTATTATAATAATTCGTACACGGCACCGATATTGATATTGTTAAACGCTTTCAACAACAAACGACCGTGACACAGATGTACTCGAGCGTTCTAATAGTAATATCTAAGAGCCTCATTCATACAAATGCTTTACAGGTAACAACTTAATTAATCAAAATCAATTACATAATAACATCATTGACAGAAAAGTATGATTTTCAAAATTGTGTGTAGATAGTCGTTGCTGACTCGGACACGGGCCCGGTGGTCGGCGCTGTGCATCGACTCCATTCTTCATCTTATTATTATTAATTATTATGCTATCATTATTATAATATCATAATCTTCAGTACTATTATTGTTATTTTCAATTATTGACTAATTATCATATACTTAGCGATTGGGAGACCGTCTATCTATAAAAACAAATTAGTGTAACGTATATCAATTGGTGCATATTAGTGGACTGTTAGATATGCATAATTGACTGACAGTTAACGATGAAACTAATCTCTGCCTGGAATTTGTGAAGGCCTCTCCATATCCAATTTCCACCCTTACGCAATATTATGATCAATAATAATATCATAATTTTACATTATATGAGGTACGTGGGTGTGTAGCGTGGAGGGTGGGAGAGAGTTATGGCGGAGGTACACCCGGTAACCGTTATCAGTCATACTAATAAATTTTTACTCAGGCTATCTATTCACTCCACAAGTGAGCAATTTAACACTGCACTTTTTTAAAGAACAATCTCAGATTGAGAATGAATTTTATTAATCATTGTTGTATCGTAAAAAAAACTTTCATGAAATGGGTTTTCATATAGGCTTATTATAATTACAGTATAAGTACTAATAATAATGATAATAATAATAATAATAATAATAATAATAATAATAATAATAATAATAATAATAATAATAATAATAATGATAATAATAATAATAATAATAATAACAAAAATATTAGTGATGATGATGATGATGATGATGATAATGATGATGATGATGATGATGATGATGATGATGATGATGATGATGATGATGATGATGCTAAAAATGACACTGATAATGCCAATGCCAATGATAATGCTGATAATAATTTATATTTATATGTTGATGTATGATGTAGATATTTAGTGAAAGTTATTATGTTGGAACAAAAGTTTTAAAATTATCTAGATAATGATAATGATTGTAATAAGAAAGAAAGATAATAATGTGATGTCGATGATGATGATGATGTGAAGAAGAAGATGATGATGATCACGAGGACGTAGACGACGATGATGATGAAAATTATAATAGTAATGATGATGTCGATGATGAGGAGGAGGAGGATTGTTATGGTAACTATAAAAATTCGTTAATGTTGGAAATGTACTCGCTTGATAGAACGCGAAAACTATTACAATGATGACCAAATTATAATGCTTAAGCCCTATGTATAGTTATACTATACCAGTACAAAGAAAATTATTTATGTATTATGATGATGTTGAGGTTTAGGATGGTGGCGGTTTTGGTGGTGATGATGATGATGATAATGATGATGATGTGATGATGATGATGATATTGATGATGATGATGACTATGATGCATATGACTATGATGATGGTTATAATGATAACAATTTTTTAAAAATGACGATATGATGACAACGAATACAAAATTAACGTCAATGTAAATATATGCGCTTTATAGAACACATTAATACACTTACGAGAAAAATATAAAAACCAAATTATTATTTGCATGTAGTCATATCAAAGAAAATTATGTATGTATTTATTGTTATAACGACGCTCGGAAACAGACCATCATCATTAGGCCAATAGTATTGATCCGTCTTACGGGAATTCAAAACATTGGCATAGGTTATTACACGCACAATGGCAGCGTATTATTCCGAATAACATTGAGTTATAACATTCTGATCAATGTTCAGAATAATTGAAGTAGGCCTATTTAGTAATACATTTAATAGAACATGCGAAATATTTATCATGGAAAATAGAATAACCTTGAAGCTAGTATTATGTGTTCCCTGCTATTTAAAAAAAAATGAAAAAAATATAGGGCGTATAATAGACAACCATGTAAATGTATTCTCCAATAATTATAGTATAATTAAGTCTTTAAATATGTATTGTGTAAAGATATTATTTATAATAAATTTGATCGATTTGCAAAATGTTGGCTCGAGAAATTTATTGATTTTTGCTATTAAAGTGATCTTCAGATTATTATTTAAGGGCTTTCATTACGGTAGTTTGTGTGATTGCTCCGAATCTGATTGTACCTTTTGTTATTTTTTTCTTTATGTGTTCACATTTAAACTGCTGTTACCTTTACTTTGCATTTACATTTACTTTAGGCCTACGTCATTTGCACATAATATTTCACGTTACTTTTTCTCTTACGTTTACGGCTACGTTACGTTTATTTTTACATACTGCATACCTACGGATATTCTAATCTACTAAGCATGGATTTACTTTATCAAAGACGTTTTCGGGAATAATAGTTTAAGACAATTATGGATTTTTCGCCAATGCAAATGTCATTAATTGCTCGTTATTATTTATACTATAAAAACGAGAAGTAAATGTTGTATTAATAGTAAAAAAAATTGATTACGTTCTGACATAAAAAAGGATATTTGACGAAAAAGTCGGGAACGATTAATGACATGCAGATTTTTTAATAGGCTTATCTAAAAACTGAAGGGAAAGATGGTTATTACCCCATCCTCTCCCCCCCCCCCCCCCTCCCAAAAAATAAATCTGTAAAAGCTAAAAAAAAACAAAAAAAAAAAAAACATACCAACATGGCAAAAAAATGTTTCCTCCCGATTCTGGCTTTAAGTGTGGTTTTCTAGTCCTTCATGTACACTCCGATATTAAAGAGTCACCTAAGTGATGTATGTGACGCTTTCTACTTTAGAGTTTACGAAGAAAATTATTAATTTCCAAAAATAAGAAGCATGATTTAGAACTTTATATTAAATAGACCTAATCAAGTGCCTATTTCTACTGCCGCTAAAATCAATCTCCTGGAATGAGTCCACACTATTTATGACTTGTGAAGTTATAGTCAAGTGAGAGTATTTTTTTAACTTGTAATATAAGTATTTTCTATGGCGAAATAGAAAATAAAAACATAACCGTCAGTACTCTTTACATGGTTTTGCTTTCACTACTGCCCTCTAACAACAATTATTATAAGAGTGGAGGAGGAAAATATTCCAACAAGTTAATCGATATGACGTCACGTTAGACATTTCCTCTCGTAAATTCGCCATTTTATAGGAGTGAAAATGCTTCTTGAATTCATCATGAATTGATCTTAACAATCGTTCTTGCAAATATTTTGAAAAAGTCATGACAAGTTAATTGTGTATCTAAGTGGCATTTTGCATCGGACATTTGTTGATTATTACAATGGCAGGTGAGTTTATTTCATATTACATGTAACGGATTCCGAGCAGTCATTGGACTGGATAAAGCGGATATCAAACATCAGGTCAGGAAGCTAATCATATATTGCTGTTCAAATATAGTAAATTTTTGTGGGCATTGGCAAGCCTTCCAAATACTCATAAGCGTCCTGCTGTATCCTTTGTTGACGGAGGTGCTGTAGTCTGTGTTGTATAGGCCTAGCCTACTTTACTCATGAATATTCATCCTTGAGCATTATTATTATACTTCTGAATCTGGAGCAGTATACTATACTTCTAATATCTTGATGAACCTGATGTTACAGTACATTAAATACAAATCAAGGCTGATGTAGCAGTGAAGGCCGGAAGCTGATTACATATTCAACCTACTGTACAGTATTGTTATTTTACCAGTCCAAACCATTTTTACACTTCATCATTATAATCCACTGTTACAAAGTACTCGGTATTGATTTGTAGTGTCACATCAGATTTGTCCAGATAGAAGTAAATAATGTGCTCTTGATGCATGACTGATACATGGCTATTAGAACTAGATTTACCCAGATATGTGCACGTGCACTGCAAGTGGGTTAAATAATATCAACGTTACATAAGCAGGCCTCGAGTTTAACGGTGGCCATTGCCGCCGGTGCCCTCCCAGTTGGCCTTGGTGCCCCTGAAAATGAAGCACGACAATGGCCACTATTTGCCTGCCCTTTTGCAGCCTTGGCCTCGGTGCTCTCATGACGCTTAATATAGACCGTTTGACACGTAAAATAAATCTAATTAAGAACGTTCAAATCTTGAGAAAACACGAAAGCCAAAAACGTAGGTCGCCTAGGCTAGCATAGCATAGGCCTAGATAAGGTTGCAGTGACAGAACATGACAGAATTTCCATGTGTGTTGATACGAACTGTTTTTGCGGTTACCGTTGCGTGCGCATGCGTCTGACTCGAGTGGTAATTGCAGTAAACATGTGCAACTAGCCAAAGCAGCTAGCTTTGGGTGGCGATCTGACGTCATCGCAGCTCAAGCATGTGAAATTAACCTAATTGTTGGTTGACACTCGGCTAATCTAGTTTGACAACCAGTTTAGAGGTGTGGCCTCTCCGATGAAGACGCTCTGAGCAACAACATCAGATATTGAACTTCTTGAACTTTGACTGTTTTGTTTACGATCGCCGACCGCCCCAAAAAACTAAAAGTTTATTCCAACATTGAATCGATAATAGTTAATACTCTAAACAAAGTCATTTTAGCATTGACAACGATGGCTTGGCTAGGCCTAGCTTGGCTTGGCTAGGCCTATACCAGGGATGTCACCAGCTTTTTGAAGTGCCAGTCGGCGATCACTCCGCGTTTTCCCGGGGGTCGGGGTGCCACCCCCCTCCCGTTTTCCCGGGGTGGGGGGGTCGCCGTATTCGTGAAAGCTCTTAAAAACCAAAAGGCCTAAGTAAGTCGAGCAGGCCTATGCCCAAGGCTAGCTGACGCGATTTTTTTTTTGCTAGGCCCAGGTAGGCCTAGAGGCCAGGCCCAGGTAGGCCTAGGGAGGCTAGGCCAGAATTTGAGGAATGCAACAAAACAGATGAAGATGAGACTTACTGTAGGCCTAATTAAATTCAATAGTTGACATGCTTTGTTTTAGATTAAAAAATAATAATGAACAAATCCTGGTGACAAAGCGTCGATCCGACTGTACCCAGCCGCATTGTTTGCCGTAATTTCACATGTTTGACGATTACCACGATGAATGTGTATGTCACTGATTCATGTGCACTCGTTTATTTATTTTTTGTCCATTTACACACATTATATATCAATTATAATTAAAAGTGAAAAACTTAAAATCCAAAATGAAAAGAAAGTAAAGAAATAAAACATAAATCAGGTTTCGTAAATGTTTAATAATCTTCCTGCCCCGGATCATGATCTCATAATAAAACACTTGAATGGTCACGATTTCAACTTTAACCTTTGAATGTGTACAGAGCAACCGTGTCATGCCGGCCCACGATGGTCGCTATGACTCAACTGGCCCTAGGCTGTTAAGTTAGCGATGAATAGCAGGGCAGTGCAGTATTTTGTTACAATTAACGTAACCACAGAAACATTTATTGTATTCTTATTGTCTTTATCTATCAATTTAGCTTGTCTATTGTTTAGGTAAACTAATTATTTTGTTACAATTTGTAAACTGTTGAAATAATAGTGGTGGTCGGGAGCCTGTAAATCCTGGTCGGAAATGTTGAGTGCTGGACGGGCCCGTCCACCGCCGACCAGCGTGGTGACATCCCTGCCTATACTGTAGCTTGGCTTGGCATGTAGATGGATGGTCATAATAATATAATGTGTTAAATTTTCAACTATAATTTTAGTAAAGTTTGTATTAAAATCTACAGTAAATGCTGTATTATAAAATATGTAGCGAACATATTTATTTATTATTCAATCAACCAATAACGTAATCATGGGCAATATTGTGCTAAAAATATTGGTAATTGTAGGCCCAGTCATTACTTCTCTCAACCTACTGTGCGAAGCATGCAACATCATGTACCAAACAGAACAGAGCGGAGAAATACCATGTGATATAATGTTTATGCAGATGACAGCCTTTTTACAGTTAAATTCCAATAAAAAATAGTAAATTACAAGTTTTTATTCTAAAATCATAACACTTCATAGCGGTACTTTCTATAATGGTACAGTACTGGCAACCAGACGTCGCACAGCAAGTTTCAACCAGTTTACCAACCATGTGCGTATTGTTGATGTTTGTAAAGCCACTCACGTGACCCCGAGGGCCCAAAAAATAATTGTTTGTTATTGTTTTGAGCGAAGAGGGTTCAAATAGGAATTATGTTTCAGATGTGTATGAATGAACATAATATGAAAAAAATTATTTAAACAACCAAAACTATTGCTTGAATGTCGTAGGAAACCTAGAACAGCACTGTATTGTGTGTGTTTGAGTAAAATTACTAATATTAGGTCAGCAAACCGCTCCTACTGTACCCTAGGCTAATTAATTGGGCTATCTTGGGCCTAACCTAGGTTTGTGATCTGGAATTGTTGATGACCGGTGTATAGGCTGCACCCTGAATCCCTTTATCCAGTCACAAGTATGGTGACCACAGCCACTGTGCATACTGTGTAGTTGCATAATGTAGGCCTAGCCTATAATTGGTTCACTGAACATTTTTTTTTTTTAAGGTAAATTTGCTAAAGGCAAATGTTTTTTTAGCAAATTGAATTTTCTTTAGCCAAAATTTGATGAAAATTGTTTAAAATCATTGAAAGTCATCTGAGCTGACTGGAGCCTTAGTCACGGTGCCGGAAAAAATCTTTGGTACTGTAGGTCCACGGGGGAGAGAGTTCTTATGGCCCAAAATTGATTGGCAATCAAAATAGCATTATTTGATAAATACTGTAGGCAAATTAATATTTTTGACACACCAATTTGGTATTTTAAAAATTTGCTAAATAACACAAAAGTTGAAAATATTACTACATAGGCCTATCAAGTATTCTCATTTTAGTTGAAAACAATATCTGGGGTGGGGGGGGGGTTGTTGTAAATAAATACTATACCATGTCCAAAGTAATGGGAAGTTCATTCAAATGTACAGTACAGTACACCACATTGATTAATTATAGTCATAAATATTAATTTTTCATTAACTCATGAATATTAATGAGTTTTTTTCGAAACTAACTACCTTGCAAATATAAGAAAGTGGATTTTACATGGACTGAATGGAAACATAGTATTTTTTCAATTGTATTTAGAATTTGTCAGATTTTTCAGATATTCTCAAAGGTATGAGAAATGAATTCCATAGTGGAAATTTTAATATGGGACCTGGTACAGTAACTACTGTATCTCAAGTTTTGTATGTAAATTTATGGTGTTACTATAGTTTAAATTTTGTTGATTTATGTGTTTTTTAGGTGCAGGTGAAACAAGCTGGTGTTTCTCACAATTAAAAGGAACTGTTGAAGATGATGTGACTGAAGGTTTGTATAGTATTCATTGTTTTTTGTAGGGCAAAGTAGTTGACGTTTTACTTTGATAACTTCCTTAAAAGGCTTGCACCGAGTGATCGCTTCCTTCCTGACAAACTAGAATTGGCTGCACAATGATTCTCTAATCTCGCCATTTCTAGAGTATGCCATCTAATTTTACATACAATAGATTATAGGTGACCATTCTGACAGTATCTACCAAAAATGCTAATAAACGCAGCGGCGCTTATAAGCATATTTGAAGTTTCAGTGTATCGTTTATTCGAGAGTTGAGCTTATTCAAGAGTGGCGTTTAAAAAGAAATATTGGCATGGCGCTTTGCATGCCTGTTCCAATGTTACATATCTCGCTTATTCCCGTGCAGTAGTTGGTAGGCCTATCATAGGTTCTACGTCATAGAAGATAAACTTTCATAAAGAAATGCATGTGTCTTCATTGTGTTATTTATTCATTTTAACACTGGTACAGTATACATTTGTATTTAAAACCCTGTTTCTCAAAGCATTTCATTACACACAGGACTCTTGATTAAGCGCTGCAGCACTCTTTCGAGAGCGGACTTAGCGACAAAAATCATGTTTGTTGCGGCGCTTATTCAAACATTTATTTGATGTCATGATGAGATGTCATCATGACCATATTTAGGCATATCACATATTTTTGTCAAACAAAATTTGAAGGGCTGCACAGGGCTTTAGAAATTAAAAAGAATATGGAAGAGATTAGTTGCCAATACATGAGCAACTAAAATAAAAATTTAATTCAATGTATTATTTAATATTTCATTTTTTCTGGCCATTTCACATGAAAAAAAATAAAAAAACATTGAAAATTGGATTAAAAAACCCCCAAATGCTGAAGAAATGATGTTCTCTGTCAGAGAAAACAGTAATATGCACAATAAAAATGTGTTGTTTTTTTTTTTGACATAATCCTCCTGTACATGTTTACTAAAACGATTTTATTTTTATTGTAGATTTTATTTGACAAAAGCATGTGACATGCTTAAATATGGTGATGATGACATCACATCATGACCATATACAGTATAGGCACATTTTGACTATGAACAGTTTTTTTTTGTCAAATACAATTTGAGTGTGGACAGAAATTAATACTGACCTAGGCTGAATATTATGTCAGTTTTTTGGTTTACATTTTAATGATACAGTTTAGTGTGGAAAGTATGAAAATGAATGCCCATAAAAATAGATTTTAGTACAGTAAAATGTAAACCATGTTGTAATTGTAAACATTATGGGGGTTTACATTACTGTATGTATGGACTTGAGAAATCTAGGAAGAAGTGATAATGTCACATCTTTCTACAGCATAGCCATTTAAAGGAGTTGTTTTTACATTTTTAACAGCATCTAGAAGGTTGATTTATCAATAAATGTTGGTAGACTGAACAATTAGGCATTTAGTTCTTTAGCAAGCTGCTTTTACAATATCAAGGAATTCTTGTTTTTTTCTTCGAACAGCGGATATAATATCAACAGTTGAGTTCAATCATGATGGAGAGCTATTGGCAACGGGTGATAAAGGAGGAAGGGTTGTCATCTTCCAGAGAGAAGATTCAGTGAGTACCTAAGTTAATGATTATTAAACAGAAATTATTGAAAATAAGAGTAATTAAGGTGCCTGATGTAAATTTCATCATAAAAATTTATTCATGCACACACATTAAATAACATGATGGCATGCACGCACAAGTATGTTTACATAACACTTAGTACTTCATTAAAATGAAAATTCTCATTTATCATCATGATTCATTTCTTGGCAATGCATCTTTTTTTTCTTTTTAATTTTTTTTTCTCTAGCTTGATCCCCAGCACCCTTCACGAGGGGAATACAATGTTTATAGCACTTTCCAGAGTCACGAGCCAGAGTTTGACTATCTCAAGAGTTTAGAAATAGAAGAGAAAATCAACAAAATCAAGTGGCTACCTAGACACAATAATGCACACTTCCTTCTTTCAACAAACGGTAAGCACATTAATAATTAATTAAATACATGCAGCTTCCTATCTTCTGAATTGGGACTTTAAATAGGCCTATGATTTTCTCCTATCATTCATTTTTGGATTTTTTTTTCACCTCTTATCCCCAGATAAGACAATCAAGTTGTGGAAAGTATCAGAACGTGACAGAAGATGGGTAGGATTCAACTTAAAAGATGACGACGGTCTCATTCGTGAAAATAATAGCATTCATTCATTATGTATTCCTCATTCCACCCCTATGGAATTAATGGTAGAGGCCAGCCCTAGGAGAATATTTGCTAATGCTCACACATACCATATTAATTCTATATCGGTCAACAGTGATGTAGAGACGTACATATCAGCTGATGACCTCCGTATTAACCTTTGGCACCTAGGTATTACAGACCAGAGCTTCAGTATCCTTTGATAATTTACAATACTGTATTTTAAACATATGTTTATCCAAATATATGTTTTTCCTGTGACCTCATTTTTCAGTTCCTTTGTGACCTTAGGTCACAGTGGAACTATTGGGGTGATACAGATATGAAATGTGTGTGTGAGATGTATGGGCACAACATGTTGGTATGTTTGTAAACAAATAGGCTCCTAAACGGTGCTTTGCGGCGGGTATACATTGAGTCCCATAGTTATTGGTGAACATGTAGTTGTGCAAGAAATGTTTGTTTTTTCAGTTAGATAAAAAAATTAAGTCGTACGCGATAAAACATATATCCCCTACCACTATTTTTGAGTTGTTTTTTTAAGGCAAATTTGGATTTTGTTTTGAAGTTTGCCGACATTTTGTTTTTTTTTTATCGCGAGAACGTCAGTAGTAGACATAGAACAATATACTTCCATGTTTACACTAATTACAAGTTTATTATGTACAGTATATTAAACCACACATTCAAATCACTATGTTTTCACAATCGTATGTGCTATTAAAATATGAGTATGAATTAAATGTAATAGCCCACGAAATTAGGACAAACCCATACAAGTCGGCAGTTCTTTCTTTCACAGTGTTAGCCACTAGCTAGGCCTAGGCTGGGTTACCCACTCAGAGAGAACGTAATGGGCCTGGCCTAGCTAGGGTTATGTGGTTAACTTGCTAATAATAAAAACAATATACTTGTTTAGCGTCACCACCCGACCCTGGTATTTGGCCTGCTTCTGATGTTTTACATGCCCAAAAAACGTCTAATTTGCCCAGGAAATGCTAAAAAAAAAAATGACTGAAAAATATAGTTTTTCATTTTTTTTTTTATCATAAAGCGTGCCACCAATGTTATATTTTTGCCATAGGCAAGAGCAGTGCAGCTGCGACAATCTGTTTTTGGTACTTTAAGTCATTAACAAAAGTCTGTAGTTATAAAAGATGAGAATGGACGGTGTCTTTCGAGATGGAAGTGCTATTGAGCAAAATGTATCACAATTTTAAGTTCTGAAACGTTTTTCAAACAAACAAATCCAGGCCTAGGTGAGGAGGCCTAGGCCTATGCGAGGTCCAAGAAATGTGCCCGGCGGCAGTTGGTGTAAGCTTAGCGATGATTGTTGAGGCCTTCCGCGAACAAGTATGACAGATGTATGGAACACTTTGTATCGTATGTTCTCAGTCAATTGGATTCATTATATGACTACTAATATCCTATTCTGATAATTATAATATGATAAATATGTGTATTGACTTAAAAATTATATAATGATGAATATGCGAAGGGCAAACAATATGTTTCCCTTAATGATATAAGGAGGCTATGAGTTAATACTCATGGGGACTGCCTCCTCTCAGTGTTGCAATGTGTCGCCTTTTCAATAAATCGGTAGACATGTCAAAGTGACAGCCCCAATTCAGTGGTGCGTAACCAACAAAAATTAGATAAGCTTTGAGGCTAACTTCTTGACCATAATAGAGTTTATTCTACACTACTTGCTATGTGGTTTAAAATATTTGTCATTCGGCCTAGGAGCGATTGTGTGTGTACAACTAACTACCATAATGGTTGTTCATTCTTCTTTGATGTGTTGGTTCTGTTGTAGATATAAAGAGTACAAGTATTTAAATTTGTTCATTTTAAAATCAGAAAAGACAATGACAACGGCTGTGGGTCAGACTCTTTGTCAATTGTACCATACCACGTTAACTAAAATTCGGCAAACTCCAGGGGTTTCAAAAGCTGCCGGTACGCGACGGAATCCGCCGTGTACATAGCACATGTGCACAGCCTACTTTTTAGGCTGTTAAAAAAAAAAAGAAATAGGCTACCAATGCAGAGATTGTGTGGTTGTCCTCATGTACACAGTGATACATGTCTAGGCTTATATTTTTACGTTTTATATTTACATTTACTTTTTCTCAAATCATAGCAATTGTCTAATGCTTGCTTGTTTTAAAATCCGATGCGACACTGATGATGATAATTTATCTGTTTGATTGGCGACTGAAACAACATCGTGTTGACAGATCTCTCACTCATCATCACCTCCAACACTTAACTGACCTCATGGATAGAACTGAACCTAACACTGGCTGTTAAACAGTCTCCAGCTGAAGTACAAGGAGAGCATCAATGGGAATTGAACCTGGGACCTAGAGATCTCCACAGTTAAGCGCACACACAGTGGCTACCACCAGTTAAGCTGACTGAGCTAAGCTGCTCTCCATAGGAGATAATACCAATAATTATGTGTGCATAAATAACATTAAATTTCTACCAGTAAATTTAAATATGTTTCTGTGGTTTAGTATTGTAATGTCTTTAAACCATTGAAAGTTAATCCCATAAGCTGTTCTTTTTAATGAGCAATTCATTTTTTTTTTCAATTTGGAAAAAAAATTCAATAGGAACATTGAATTCCTGATTTTCAAGTCAACTTTATTCCAAATCAACTTCATACATAAAAAAAAAAAATATGTAGATCAGAGATGATAAATTGAAATGGAAAGGAGCATTCAAAACCAGGAAAGCTTTTTCCTATGAAACCCCCACCCCCGTACAAAAAAAAAATGAAAAGAAAAAAGAAAGGTTGATTTAAACTAACTTAACTCCATGTAAAACTATACCCCGCTGGACAATAGTTAGACAAAAATAGTTTTGAAAGATAAAGAGGTATTATTGAGTTCATTATGAAGCTCTCTTTTGAAAGTAAAAATGTGATTTTGAGATTTTAATAGTTGAGCTATCAACTTTTAATGAGATGCACAATATAATTCAGTTTTAGCTGCCTTACTTTCTAATTCTACCTCATAAATACATAACAGTTCTTTCAGTTAGTTCCTTTTTATGAGATAGAATTACAGTTAACTTGCTTAAGTCAAAGTTGATCATATTTTACATGCCAAATTGTCGTGTTTTCCATTAATTAACAACCTGTAAGTCAAATTTTATCTAAGTTGTACAATTATTCAATGCCATTTTGGATTTGACTTTAGGCAAGTTCAACTGTACAATCAAACTTACAGGTTAGTCTTGTTTCATTTTTAAACGAAAACAAGGCCTATGGATATGGTGTTTGCAACGATGACCAAGATTGTGTTTGTCCTTAACTGTTGCTTTATAGATATTGTTGATATTAAACCAGCAAACATGGAGGAACTTACAGAGGTGATAACAGCTGCTGAGTTTCATCCAAAGCAATGCAACCTTTTTGTTTATAGCAGCAGCAAAGGAACCATTAGACTCTGTGATATGCGTGCCGCTGCTCTCTGTGACCAACATGCTCGAAGTGAGATCACATGAAAAATATTCTTCCTAATCATCTTTATCATCATCATCATCATCATCTTTATTATCGTTATCATAATCATTATAAAAGAAAATCTTGATATCCAGTTACACTGCAACTCTGATTTGGTAACACATTTTTTTTTTTTTTTTTTTTTTGCCGCCTTATATTCATCATTGTCATATCTTTTTCATTCCTCTTTTATCATCATTATGTTCTTTCCTTTATCATCATTAATATCTTTATTTAAATTTTGCAACTACTTTGACATGCCTCACCACAGTATTTGAAACATGCAATTTGATTGGCTCATTACAAAATTTGCCTTTCCACAGTATTTGAGGAACCAGAGGATCCCAGTAACAGATCTTTCTTCTCTGAAATTATATCGTCAATTTCTGATGTGAAGTTCAGCCACAGTGGTCGTTACCTTATATCGAGGGATTACCTGTCTGTGAAGGTGTGGGACCTGCACATGGATAGTACACCTGTAGAAACCTTTCAAGTCCACGAGTACCTACGTAGCAAACTATGCTCTTTGTATGAAAATGATTGTATCTTTGATAAATTTGAGTGTGTTTGGAATGGAAATGACAGGTGGGTCATATCAGTGTTACAAAACCTTTTAGCCAGAATTGGTATATTTAATTATTTAATTTTATATAAATATACATTACAGAGGAGCAAAACAAAAAACAGAAAAAATTTCAAGGAAAAATTACAAAGGCAAAAATTATAAGAAAACAGTGCCAAAGATTAGCAAAAGCAGCAGTGCCACTGACTATTTTATACAAAAAATAAATGAATAAATGAAAAAAAAAGAAGAGATTATAACAGTTGAAATTGTACAACATGGTGTAACAGTTATCTCATCACCATCTGATATTATTCTGAACTTTCTCCCTTTTTGTTTACCAAATTCTGACACTGTTGTCCTCCTTGGGATAAATGAATATATATAAACGGAGGAAAAGATTTCTAGTTTTTATATTTCTAGACTTTAAAATTGGTATGAATAAAAGCAGGGAAAAAAGACAGGTTAACCGATGGTGCGGCTGCCAGTTAAATATCGGCTGGTACCAAGAGAAAAACAGTCATATAAATGTGTTGTATATTACTTTGAATATTGTATTAATCTAAAGTTTGCTTTTGTTTGCAGTGCAATTATGACTGGCTCCTATAACAACTTCTTCCGCATGTTTGACCGCACGTCCAAGCGGGATCTGACGCTGGAAGCTTCTAAGGAAAACATGAAACCCCTCCAGGTGCTAAAACCCCGCAAAGTTTGTACAGGAACGAAGAGAAAGAAGGATGAGATGAGCGTCGATAGCCTAGATTTCAACCGCAAGATTCTGCACACGGCCTGGCACCCCAAAGAAAACATCATCGCTGTGGCAGCCACTAACAACTTGTATATATTCCAGGAGAAGCCACCCAGTTAGGCTAGGTAGAGAATGTAGTTATAGGTAGGTTTGTAAAGAATTTTGATATTGAAAGAAGTGTGGAGACTTGGCTCAGGTGGTTAACCTGAGTAATGAATAATGACCGTCGAAGGCGGCAGCAGCAGCTTAATGGTGGTAAATGTCCGTATATATTCTCAGGTCGTAAGCACTAGAGATATAAGAAATTTAGCAGAAGTGTTACCGCTGGTAAAGATAGCTCGCCCCATGTTTCCCCATAGCAGAATGACCAATTTAGTTGACAGCATTGAAGAATGGACACTGTGTGTACCCTGAATGTTGATAAGGAAGAGATCCTTTTGGAATAATAATGAAGATATTTCATGTGTAAATTAAATAAGACATTGTCTTTGTGCATTGTACCGTTCAATGCACATGAAATGAATTGACCCAATCCTGATTTTGTGTAGTTTTGACATGAGAGAGTATGAAACAATTGACTGCATACTTATGTGTTATAAGAATTAACAGGTGATCAGCATTTTGAAATAAAATTTAAAATTATAGTACAAAAAAGTTGTTGCTGATTAACTGTTAATTCTTGAAACTAACTGAAGTTGATCATAGATCGTAGATCACCAGTTCAAAAACCATTATAAACGAAGAGATTTTCTTCTTTTATAGTAATAATAAAGATATTTCATGTGTAAAATAAATAAGACATTGTCTTGCATTGTACTGTTCAATGCACATGAAATGAATTGACCCAGTCCTGATTTGTGTAGTTTTGACATGAGAAAGTATGAAACAAGGATGCAAGCCATTGTTATTCAATATTTTTGTGATGTCGTCAATTTACCTCCTGCATTATTTTCCTATCTTAAGCCGTGCACTAATTTTCCATTAGAAAACCAAAAACCACAAGAACGATAGTGGATACAGAAAAAAGGTCAAATATTTGAAACAGAGGCCATCCTAGATTTCTGGTAGAAACCAGAATTTCAAGCTACGTTGTTGATATGTTGTGCATATTTTTCTAAGACACAGAAGGAGTGTTGGATGAAATACCTGGGATTGGTTAATAAGATGTAGATTTTAAAAATATCTTTAGAACGGGGGTGGGGGAGGTAGAGGGTGCTTAGACCCCTTTTAGTTACCTCGGGAGATGTACTGTTTCGAAATCCCCAGAGAAAAATTTGTTGGTTGGACAATGCTGTGTTGGAATAAACAAACAATAATGAAAGATATGTTAAGCCGGGCACAGACTGCGTCAGAATGCAAATACAACTCCACTCCCTGTGAACACCAGACAACGTGACGCTGTCTGCTCATTATCGGTGGCAGTCTGAATGGATGGTCATTGTAAACAATGTTGCGTGCATGGTGTTGCGTTCTTAAAATCGTGTCAGCCGACAGCCGTTGGACGCAGCAAGTGCAACAGGGTAGAAGACAATGTACATCAATCATTTGTCTTTCACTATAGAATGATTTTTATGATTATATTGCGCTATATTTAATATTTCATTTCGAAGCAATGTCTGTATTGCAAAAACTCGTCAAAACACAATCTGTTTATAATACAAGTGCAACCTTTGGGACCTTAAAATTTGGGTGATCTTGGGGTTCCATCTCCAAGACATTATGCTAGTACTTTGAAAACCTATTCTTGGAATTGAAGGAGTCACGAATTGATAGTTGAACTGTATTTTTGTGTTCTTACTACAATAATGCACATACGTGCAGACAATAATAATGTTATGATCATATCAGTGTTATAAGCTGTGGTCTGCCCACTACAACAGCAATTTGCTTACATTTTTGGAAAAACTGACTTGTAAAGCTATTTGTATAGTCATATCTTCATACATAGAGAAGATTATTACTGTACACATTAATCTAAATTTGGTCTAATAATTCCCATCTAATGTATGGTATACAAATATACTAATTGCGTAAATATAAAATATTGAATAAGTGGCTTGTATCACTTTCAACACATTTTGTTTCACATGCTCTCGAATACATATCGGTGCACCCCATGGTATGTATTCTTTTGAAATATGAAATTGGGGTGGATTAAAGTCTAGATTATGGCTTCTCTCCTTAGCAACTATGAACACTTGAATTATTATATTTTCAATTACGGTAATTGAAACGCTGGAGTGCGATTTAATTGTGTTATTAAAATAACTCTGAACAAACCGCATTCTGTTATCTGTAAACCTCGACCAAAATTTGTTGTGACATCATAAAAATATTCAAAGCTAAATGAATTGACCAGTCTGACACTGTCAGAAATACCAATGAATTCTTATAGAATATAAAATAATTAGATATTATATAAAAAAGTAAATAAATAAACTGTATATGTTCATGTGTAAGTCTTCAGTGTTTTACAAATACCCTGTTTTTTATTATTTTTTTTCGAATATTTTGTCAGATTAAGATGAATTAAAAACTTTGTTCAGTTAAAAAAAAGTGATTGTTTTCAAATGTAAATTAAATGTATTTGGCTTAGCATTTCCTTAGAAAGAAAATTATACCCTAGTGACTGCATACTTGTGTGTTATAAGAATCAACAGGTGATCAGCATTTTGATATAAAATTTAAAATTATAGTACAAAAAAGTTGTTGCTGATTAACTGTTAATTCTTGAAACTAACTGAAGATTGTGTAGATCGCCATTTCAAAAACCATTATAAAATCAAAACTCAATCCTTAAAAAAGACAACCATAAAAAGCAGCATTAAAAGTTTGTAACTAGGAATTTCTTAGTAGAAAGTTGAAGAGTACTATAAATGTGTTTTTATACCACAAACAAAAACAAATTACATAATCAAAAATATTTTACAATAAATTTACAATATTTGTTCTCACCATTTTGCTCAATCTGTATAGTTTCATTTTGTTTTAATCTGTTGATGTATTTATTTGTAGATACATTTTGAAAAATGTTCGTTTTTCACATAATTTTCATCTGTAAAAAGCAAATGGTAGCACTGTCTGCTACTGGTTCTTTGAGTTGAGTTTGTCACCATGGAGATGTGTGTTGGCAGTAGCCAGCTTGGAAACCACCGACAATTATATGGAAATGGAACAAACGATGTCCATATTCTGCAGCACTCAACAAAAACATTAACATTGAATAGTGCCCTCTAGGTATATGTAATTTCTGCTGTTGTATAATATTGTTTTGTATAGTTTATTAGCAAATATTAAAATGTTTTATTTGCAATGAAGGCCCATTGAGATTAGGTGTTTCAGAGAACAAATTGTTTCAAGAAATTACGATAGGATGCTAAGATTGATTAATCCATCAATTGATTGATCAATCAAATAAAGAACTGATTCTTTAGAAAATGATGAATATGTTACCTCTAAGCTAGTTTGTATCATGTTTTAAAGAAAACTTTGGTATACTTTTTGTTTTAATAATCTTATGTTCATGTACAGACAGTTTGGTGTCAAAATCATTCCATATTTTCGGTGGACAAGATGACCAGCTCTATACTGTCCTGTGTTTGGCCTTTCAACAACAGTACACATGTTAAACACTTTTTCTTATTTTGGTATACTGTACATGAATGTTATTACAAAAAGATATATCAAAAATAGGTAGCAGTATTTTTACGAAACTTCGGACATGAAATATGGCAGTAGATTGTTGGTATAGTTGACTCCGAAACATGTTACACAATATTTTTTTGGAACTATTTTAGAATGGTGCTTATAATGAATATGGTTAATTATTATGCATTAATTGTTCAGCCTTCAGCTTGGGTTAGTTAGGTCATTAATTGCATAGGGCAAAAGATGATGTCACAGCTTGTTTATAAGGCCTAAACCTTAACATTAAGCAATAATCAATTTTCAATGTTATCATTTTGCTTTTGAATTTTTTTAACTTAAGATTGCTTTGGATGGAATTTTGGCAGCTATCAAGTTTATATATTCTAAAATAATGTTTAATGATATAAATGTGTATTTTGTAAGAGTGGGGATGGGAATTCCTGGTAATGAGCATGTTATCGCAAAGCAATAGCCAGTCTATCCTACAGTGTACCTTAAATAAGCGACGCAAGCTTAGCTCGATGTGTTGTCGATCACCTGTGATTCTTAGGTTTTTGGGTGACTATTGAAGATTTACACAATCTGAGACTTAACGATACTGTTTTAAGAAATTGTAAACAGTATTATAAGGTTTATCAATCATCGTTTGAATAAATAAAAATTGTTTTGCTATGTGGCTCTTAATTTTTGTGAGCCCCACTCACATGTCGTGATTTTGGTTTTTTCATTCTTAATCGAAAGAGGTCCAAAGACTACGTTCCAAGATGTGAAATATTTGATAATCTAAATCCCATCATCATTATGAGACACAAAGATTGGAATTATTTAGTCTGTGAGAAAAAAATGTTTGTATTATTGTTTGTTAATGCATATACTGTACATTATAAATGCTGGTACTGTATAAACTTTCATTTTCTCTAAATCTTTACCCAGATACACTCAAAGCTTATGTGCAAGACAATCCATATTTGTAAGATTTTGAATAGTAATTATGTTAATTATGTTTCTGACATATTATTTTTGTATTGTTATCTGAAATTGTTTTAAACAAATGTATTTGCTACCTAGTTTATGAAATTCAGTTTTGATATGTTAAACTTTAATGGAATTTCATATCAATTTGATTCAACAGTTTTGTTGTAAAAATGTTTTCGTTTTTATGTACTGTGTCCTGATTGGTTGAACTTGCAGGTGTGGTAGCGGTAATGCAACAAAAAAAATATGATGGCTCTTAAATGGCTTAGCCGTGTGTGACATGTACAAGACATCGTAGAGCTTCCTCTTGTAATGCATCCCTCAGTGTTGTGATCAGGTAGTCTGATTATGTGACGTTGAAAACATTTCAGTTTATATCTCGAGGAGCAAATTAAATGAACGAAGATTACTGTAAGAACTATTTAAATTGGTTTTCATTTTGTGTCTGCCACATCCTCTGTGTGTGTTTTAAATATTTTGGTCAGCATGTCTACATTTAAGGTGCAGGTTAAACAAATCTACATATAATGCATAATTTAACTTGAAACTTTAAAAAAAAATTATATAGCATATTTCAATAAGCTTTCAATTTAAACTATACTCAAACGAAAAATATAATACAATGCAATATTTATATTCTGGCAATGGATTTTTGCATAGGAAGACTCCACTCCACTGCAAAGATAGAATTGGTATTTATTAGTTCCTATGCTGTAAAGCAGTAGGAACCTTTCTTTGCAATAGCTTTGATCTGACGTCATTAAATTTGTCTAAAGTTTGCAAACAAGCATACTTGAACTTGTTGGTTATGAATTTTTGGATATATGTAGTATTGGTGAAGAAATGGTGCTCTATTGCTTGGATGTATTTTCTGATAAATATTAAGCAATATATACACTAGAATTTTATTACACCCCAACCCCCTTTTTTTATCCAAGTAATCTAGCGTCAATGGTACAGTTGGTTATTGCATGTCAATTTTGATAGCTACCAGATGCAATTTCCTGACGCGTCTCCAGACTCAGGAATTTTACGAAAAAATGCAATGACTATCGCTTGAGATTAGATGACAAGATGACATTAAAAAACCTTTCTACCCGAAACATATTTTGAGCTCTCGTTAAAGAAAAGTCGTCGATCCCTCCCCCTCTCCCCCGGGAAGAGAGATAAACCTTCACCTGCGAGGCCTAGCCAATAGTTTTGTCACAAAACACTGCATAAGAACCTTGGTTGGGGCTGAGGTGCGAACATTTTGAGAACATGGACTGGTGCCCGAAAATATCACTCTCCTAAGAAACTTCAATCAACAGCCTATTATGTCTGTCTCTTATACACATCTAGATGTGTATAAGAGACAGGTTCCAAGATGTGAAATTTTACTGGCAGTCGTCAATATTCTGGTTTATTCGCCTACTATCATCATAGTCCAATGCTCAAAAATACACATAGGCCTATTATTGTGGCATTTTATATCTGTAGGCTGTATGTGCACAAAAGTCTGTACCATCCAAATTTTGGACAGCCTTCTCTTGTGCACACCTCAAAACCAAATCCCCCTCCAAGTCACACCCAATTTTGCATTTCACAAACTATTCCTAACTCTTGGCCAATCATCAAAACGCACGATTTACCTTGTTTACAAGTTTAACACAGCCCTAGATATTGATCGGCATCAAGCGACTTGCATAATTTCCCTCATTTGCATACTCAGCACAACCCTGGATATAACATAACTTTTACACCTTTTTGATAACGAATCCGTTCGTTAGTAATGAAATAGAATAACTGAATGAAACATCTAAAACTATATGTCACTTATGACATTTACACGCAATCTGGCATGTGGGCCACAAAGTGTATTATGTTCTTAATGTGACCTTTTTAACTAAAGAAGAAAGAAAGAAGACTTTGTTCGTGTTCCATATTAGGAGATCTTTGATACAATGAAAAACACAATGAAACGTTCATTCAAATTAAATCAGAAAGTGTCGACGCGTAAAGAAGATTGGTTAATTATTGCTTGAATGCAATTGAGAAAAAGAAAAACGATCGGATGGCTCTTGGTTTCATCCATGGTCAAAGTAGACTGGTTGAATACGCCTTGCCACGCCCCTGTTCGTGTTCCATATTAGGAGATATTTGATACAATGAAAAACACAATGAAAACGTTCATTCAAATTGTAATCAGAAAGTGTCGACGAGCAACGAAGGTTGGTTATTTTTTTAATTATGGTTTGAATGCAGTTAAGAAAAAAAACAGAGAAACAATCGGATGGCTCTTAGTTTCATCAAGCATAGTCAACGTGGACTCGTGGTTGAATACTTGCTCGCCCGATAGTAATATCGAGAGTGTACAAAACCTAGATTTATCATTCCTGAAGGGAAGTCTTCTCTTCACCTCTGTTCCATTCAGTTGACTTTAGCCAGATTGAATTGAGGCATTGATTACAACTTGTAATTTACGAGAATATTTACGATAACTGTGTTAAAAATATGTTCAGCTAATTGTTATAGAATCGAATACTGTAAATAATTTCTGTAGTAAATAATGAATCGATTCTGAGATTATTTTCATGTAACTAATATTAGTTGCACAAGCGTTGCAGTTATATTGAGATGCATCCCTTCATTTTGAAGATAAGTACGCAGCTCGATGTTAATGTTTTGGAGATTACGGTATTTGGAGAAACGTTGCGTGTGTATTGACTTTTGCTGGTAAGGCATACCTTCCAGTTTTTCAGTTTTGTAAAATTTACTTTCCAAAATATGCTTAGGAGATTTATATACATTACGTGACAACATTTAACTCATTTTTGACATGTCGGCGTTTTTAGTTAATGTGACTAGGAGAACTACCGAGTCAACAGGTACCGACATTTCATATTTTCATACAACCATAGCTTCAGTCAGTTTTACATCGACAGATAAGTTCGAGCCAGTACTGCTGCATCCTATTATTCTCTGTACTCTGTGTGCCATTAATCTGCTGACAATATTAGGGAACCTGTTGGTTATAATGGCAGTGTTCAAAGACCACCGTCTTCGCTCAAACAATACCAATCTTATTATAGCGTCGTTGGCACTTGCTGATTTTCTAATAGGCGTTGTGGTCCTGCCGTTCGCCATTTCCGTGGAATACACATCCGGATACTGGTATTTTGGCAGAAACTGGTGTGATATCTGGCACGCTATGGATGTGTTTTGTTGCACAGCGTCCATTTTTAATTTATGTATCATATCTTTTGATCGATATTGGGCGATAACAAACCCAATTAGTTATCGTTCCAAAATGACAAATCGTGTTGCCTGTATCTTGATCGCGTTCGTTTGGGTTTGTTCGTCTGCTATATCTTTTCCGGCAATAGTTTGGTGGAGAAAAGTGGACCCACCTTTTATTGAAAATAATTGTATATTTACAGGAAGCTCATCGTATTTGCTATTGGCATCAGTTATAGCATTCTATATTCCATGCGTGATCATGGTTTTTACATACTTAAGAGTTTATTTAACAGCTATACGCCAAATGCGGGGCATTCTAGCTGGTACAAAGAACGTGACATTGGCTTCGAATAATAAAAAAACTGTAAATTTACGGATACATCGTGGCGGATTAATGAGAAACAATCTGACAGACAATATGAAGAGAGAACATAAAGCAGCGAAGACTTTAGGTATCGTGATGGGTGTTTTTGTTATCTGTTGGCTCCCATTTTTTGTGATACTCCCGTTGTCTATCTGTGAACAATGCATTAAGTATCCCCAATTAATTTTTCCTATAACGACCTGGCTAGGCTGGAGCAATAGCGCCCTAAACCCGTTCATTTACGCGTTTGTTAGTAGGCATTTTCGGATGGTATTTTATAAGATTTTGTGCGGTGCGCATTGCACTAATAGCTCAATATCCCGTCCATCTACAGATTTTGCTTCCCTGTCAACTGGGGTTATAAATGCGACATTTGTGAAAGGTGACGAGGACTTCCAATTGTCGATTGAATGACCAAATCTTAGAAACAAACTGGCATTCGTCTCTCAAGTCTAGACTCTGATACGAACTTCACCCATTACATTCAAGAGATAATAAAACCTACTTAACATATTTTATTCTTGAATCCTCCCTCTTCTGGATGAGTATGCAATATACAATTATACAAATCCCACATTCTTCCTTTCATTGAATATGCATGTTGTGTCTATGGTTGCCTCCCAGAATGTGATCTCTCCCTTCTTCAACGTGAGTACCTTTTCTGTAAGCTTCTTTCCTTCTCCTCTTTCCATTCATCTTACATATCTGTTCTTAATGAATTTGGCATCCCTTCGGTTGTATCCGGTTTTAAATATTCAACCCTCTGCAACCTTGGAAGAATAATAGTTGTCTGATTACCATCCTCTTCATCTGTATCTTCCCTCCAGCCGCCAGTACACCTTATCTCTTCGTAACCTAGCCTATGTTTTGAATTTATCATCCTCTTTATCCACTGATCCTTCTAATTTCACACCTCTTCTGATTAAGCAGCTTTTGCACATGTCTAAATGTGTGTGGGGATATGCGGGTCTTAGGAACTTGTGGAGTAACGTCCCTACCCCGCGATGCATAGTTGGATTAGTGGTGGCTTTGGGGTTGCGGGTCATTAGGACCTTAGTGGAGTAACGTCCCTACCCTGCGATGCATAGTTTGATCATGGTTAGGTCACTAGGGCCTTAGTGGAGTAACGTCCCTACCCCGTGATTCATATTCTGATTAAGGTTGGCTTTGGGGTATGCGGGTCATTAGGACCTTAGTGGAGTAACGTCCCTACCCCGTGATGTATAGTTTGATTAGGATTGGCGTATGCGGGTCAGTAGGGCCTTAGTGGAGTGACGTCCCTACCCCGGGATGCATAGTTCGTGGGTTGTGGTATGAGGGTCATTTGAACCTTAATGGAGTAACTTCCCTACCCCGTGATGCGTGTTACCATTCTATTGTTTTACTGTATTGTTCTTTGTGCGAATATTGGCCTTGATGGCTCTTGTAGCAAATAAAAGAAATTGAATTGAATTGAATTGAATTGAATTGAAATTTTCATTTTTAAAATTATAGATGATTACGTAAGAAAATATGATTCTATTTTTTTCCGTACTTTGAAGTCAAACCCACCCGCTGAAATATGTTCTTTAATCTCATAAAATTTATTTAAAAAATTAATATTAGCTGATTTATAGTCGCAATAGCAACAACTCTGCCAACCTTTATCAACCTGCACCTGCATTGAGATGAATGGAATTTGGAAGGAATTAAAATTATACAGTAGATGTTTGGATGGGTGTAAAAGTGATGAACACATTAAAGGGGTTGGGGGAACTCTGGAGTTTTATAATTTTTTGTAAAGTAATTACAACCCTAAAGCATAGTTACTATATGATTGCTACACTGTCTTTGCAATCGTTTCCCTGCGACCCGATTGACCTATTAGCGATTTTATGAACTTGGCTTAGGCCCAAGGTAACTTAATAAATAATAAAATATAAAAAATAAAATAAATAGACATATGTACAATTATAGATTAGAAATATATGAGGCCTATTGTGTGTGTGTACTGAATTTTGTGTTGAAGTCAAGAGATAATATATACGGTAATTAATGCTTGCGGTACACCACGTAGATAGTTCTGAAAAGAACTGTTGTTGTTGGTTGAGAATATCTCGACGTTTCGGTTGACTTGCTTCAACCGTCTTCAGGAGAATAATATAAAGAGATAATATTATTATCACAACTTTAACTTATGCATATACGGCTTAGGATAATTTAGATTCTACAGATTATGTAGGCCTATTTACTATGATTAATAACAAAAAATGTAAATCACTATCATATTATGATAATAAAAGTAGTCGCAACCAAAGGCTAGCTTCACGGGTCAGAGTTGTCCATCTCAGTTATTTACTTGGTGTTTAGGCCAGACCTTAATGCTCTGGCTATAAATATAGGCCTGTTATTATAAATAATACAAGGATTAAACTATAATAATATTAAATTTAATAGTAAATGATAATTGGCGTATTAGATTGGAACCTGTCCGTTGAGTATGCTAGTCCCTTTAAGTACAAATTCAACGAAAAAGTTTTCGTTGAGCACTTTCTGTTGAGCACGAAAGTTCCCACTCGAATACGACAAATGTGATTGGCATAATGGTGTATGTAGACGTTACTTGAATATCAGCAACAATAAATATGTCACAAAAATCGATAAAGGAATTCTTCCAAATTCTCAATATACCATGCTTCCCCTCAAACTGACACGACGATAAAAATAAGAGGAGAATGCAATAGAAATCAAAGAAAGGATGAGGCGTTGGTATTATCACATGCCAACTTCCAGCTTGTATGTAATAATGTAAGTATGAGCAACAACAATATTTACCAAACTGATTCATTCAAAATTGTTCGTCATCAAATTGAGAGGACTTTCATAAAGAATGGCGGCTATAGAAATAACCGAAGAATTTAATAAAAATCAAAGAAACGAGTCGTTTGCATAATTGGCACATGCTTTGTTTACAGCTTGGTAATAATAAAAGTATCAACAGCAACAACAATAAGCAATTATGCCAAACTGATAAAGAAAATTACCACAATAATAATGCTTCTTGTCCTCAAATGTGAAGAGTTCCTGCATATAAAGAAAGGCTAGCTGACTATAGCTAAAGAAATAACCAACTAATTTCGAAAAAGTCGAATCACAATGCAACTCGAAAATGAAGTGAAATGAAGGGCATAGGGTTGAATAGTTGGTGGTTTTCATTTCTTTACCGCTCGGAAATACGTCAAGTAAGAATTAATGAAAAACTTAATGTTCTATGCACATTCATAGCCATTGGAAGCATTTTGCAAGTGGTCCGGTCATTGTGGGTGGGTGGGATGCGGGATGGTACATATTTTTTCACCATGGTTAAAAAATTGGCTCCTCAGCCGGGAAATAGCACGTGCATAATTTAAAAAATATTTTTTCAAATTTTAATTTAAGGGTTTAAATTTTGATCAAATAACTACTCAGGACCGGCTAGACCATTAGGCCTATACCTTTTGCCCAATTTTTATAATAGTTATTTGTTATTTTATACAGCATTTTATACCTCTAAACATTTTTAAAATCAATCTTAAATATTAAAATTAACAACCGATTCTACATAAATGGTCAGTTTCGGTGACAAATAAAATGCTGCCAATTACACTTCTATTCTGGTGCCACCATCAATCATCTGATCAGAATCCACTAAGCAGGTTTGGTGACGTCATCATGGCTATCGTGATTTGTCACCGAAACTGACACATATTATTTAGGTGGAATCGGGTGAAAATTATAATTGTCAAAAAGTTGAAATGTACATGACAATACAAAAACAAGCGCATGGTGGATTTAAAAAATATATAGGCCTAACATTAAAAATACAATGTGATACGAACATTAATAATAAATCCACATAATATGTACCGTAGGTGTCAGCATATATTTATTAAAATAATTACAGGTCTCCCTTCAATTAAAAACCACCTCCAACTAAAGACCACAATCTTGCGGCCCCGTTGAATGAATATCTTTAATCATTAGCCGTTCCCTCCAATTTAAGATTCCCTCTATTTAAAGAACATGGTTTTGGTGGACCTAACTGAAAATTTCCCCTCCAAGTAAAGACCACTATAAAATAAATAATGATCTTAATGCAAATTTGTTCTACAGTAAATTGTGTTATATATGACTTACACGTAGAAATATTATCTAATGCACTGTTTTGTGTACAGTGTTTTGTGTATATTGAATGAAGATAATGTTAGTGGCAATGTAAAAGTAATATTTTAATTAAAAGACAAGTTGATGTCTGGTTACCAAGAAATGTTTAATTAAAAATAAACAGCAGTATGCAGTTACTGTACATCCATTTTAAAACATTTAATGTATTATTGTGTGTGTGGCATACAGTAACAAATTCAACCATAATGAATACTATCATGGTTTTGGCAGACCCAACTAAAAATTTTTCCTTCATTCATAAATATCATTAAAATATAATACAGTGATTTTAATGCATTTAGAAACAATATATGATGATAGATATACATCAAGATAATACAAAACATAAGATGATTTTTTGTGTATCAGTGCTCTATATTGAATTAGGACGGTGCTGTTAGTAATTGTAATGGTGATTTGGGTAGAATGAGGACAGGACTTGATGTATGATTATAGCGGGAAATGTTTGAAGCATCAATAACAGCATACAGCAACTGTACATCTAATGTAATCCATTCTAACAATCTTACATTTACTATCATTTCTCGATTTCTCTCTAAAGACTACCGTACTTTTAGAGCCGGTCTTTAATTAAATGGATTGTAATTAGAGACCAAAGCTGCTGAAGACCACTAAAAACCCGGTCCCGAAAGTGATCGTTAATTGGTGTGGAGGGAGACCTGTAATAGGTTGAGAAAAAGTGATCCGGCCAAAGCCGGTGCGGTTCCGACGGCCCTGACATCAAACTGCAATGGCGTAACGACGAGTCATTGGGCCCGGGGCGAGAAAGTTTTGGGGCCCTTGTATATTAGCAAATGTGTCAGTGCAATCGAATTGTGTATTTCTATTTTATATTTCATTCTTATTTGTTTGTATGTATTGATATGGACATTGTCTGAAATAATAATATATTAAATAGGTCCATGCGCGCATATCGTCATGCGTACAGTATGTGCATTTCATTAGCGTCCATAGGTTACATCTTAATCATGAATGTATTGATATATGTTCCAATGAAGCTTTGCCAATGTATATGCCCAAAGAAGCATTGTATGCATTTTGATATGGACATTGTCTGAAATAAAAAATGTATTGAATAGGTCCATGCATATATCGTAGGCGTCATGATATTGATTTAAGTTCCAAAGAAGCTTTTTTGCAAATATGCCCAAAGAAGCATTATCAAACAATCATTCAATCAATTGTCATGAGTGGCGCGTAGGAGCATGGGGATATCCTCCCCCCGCCTCACCCACAAAAGAAAAAGAGAAAAGAAAAGGAAAGTCCAGAGGGGAGCACGGTACCATAGGGAACCAGTGATGGTCTCAAGCGCCTGCCCAGATTTTTACTGGTTATGTTTATAAGGTACCATTCCAACATTTATAATTAACACTATAAAAATTCAGACGAACAAAAATTAACTTTACCCATAATAATTGTAGGTCTACGACTTTTGAATAATTTTTTTTTTTTTTTGGTCGTCTGACTAATAAATTACCAATAGACGGTTAAGTAACCAAAATGATTATTGTTTTGATAAAGTGCTAATTCGATACCACGAATTATATTGCTCTAAAACAGGTACTATAAGGCCAATCTGAATCAAATGACTATCGTTTCTTTATAGTCAAATCGATGATGTCTACAGACTTTTATCATCCCAATGGTACGAATTATTAGTACTCCTGTACATTGGTTTAATCGATTTTAACATGTAATGTCACATAATTTTTGTACATTTAATAACTGTAATTTTTTTATTTACTGAGGTTTTAGGGCGGAGGCGGATTCAGGGTGGGGTTGGATGCCGGCCAAAGTCTCTCAAAGGCTGAGAGGGTGTCAGGTCAGAACGGTTCCCCACTCATTCAAACTTATGTCATTTATACATGAGTGCCCTTTTACTTTCTGCTCCCCCTCCTGCATATCTGGACCCCCTCCCCATCCCCCCAAGAACCTCCCCAGTACAGCCTCGCGAACGGTCACCGGAGGCGGCCTTTTCGCTTTTATTTGATGAGACCAACTGCCAAGCGAGTCACCACGGAGCAGCGCCACCTGAAAATGTAGTGGATAAATTATCCTCCGTCTATTCCTATGACCTTCATTTGCTTATTGTTTCCAAAGCTTACACAAAATCCTACTGCCATATATCATATTTATTTTTTATTTTCAGCTGCCACTCTTTGGAACACACTCCCTAAACGCCAAATCACCCTCAGTTGCTATTTTTTAAGACCAAACTCAAAACACACCTTTTTTGACATCAGCGCCTTTGATTTTTACTTCGGTTTAGCGATAAACTAATTCCTCCATGATTATAATCAACGTCGGCGATAGCATGTAGCGAATCAAGCCAACTCGCTACACAGAAAAATCAAATATCGAGCGCCAAAAGTACAATTCAAGCATGCCTTAGGCCTAGTAAGCTGTCAAATTTTATAGATTAAAAACTGCTTAGTGCGAGCAGAGCTACCGTATGTGCGAGGTGTTGTATACTGTTGCGATCGTATAGTTGCAGTGATGGCGCCAGCTCTTCCCCGATAGGGGGACGGTACCTCCGACAGGGGGTTAGTACCCCTGACTGGGGACTAGTACGATACCCCTACAGAGCTCTTAACTTGCATGGTTTATATCAATTTATCCTTTTAAAATCAAGAATCCTATAATTAACACAAATTTGTATTATTTTTTAGGCTTTCCTGACCGGTAATCGTGGCGTTAGACCCCTTGTCGGGGGGAGCTTAGACCCCTCGTCGTGGAATTCCTGGCGACGCCCCTGACCAGAACAGGACAAAGGTACTTGTTGCAGGTGTGTATGGAAATTGTTCTAGTTATGTTTCATTTAAAGCGAGAACATCGCCTATCATTTATACAAATCATCATATTAAAAATAAACAAAAACTGACACGAGCAATTCGGACCTATGAAATCAATGGTGTTTATTTTCGAATATCAAATCATAGAATACAATACAAGTGAAAATGGTAACGGAGTTTGCCGCATCAGGCTGTTGGGGATCGACATTTTTTGGTTCTGCTTTGTATATCTAATCCTTCTCTGTTCCACTCTTCTATGAAAAAATAAACCCAACCAGATAAAGCTACATCATAAAATATTCTAATTGTCACACTGTATACACGGCAGTCAATGGTTCGTCAATTTCTGTGCAGTAGACTAAGCGATGGGGGCGCCAGACTTTAAATAACATACGTCCGTCTCCAGTGACAAATCTGCATGATCCATTTTTTAGACACTTTTAAAAGCCTGCTAATTAATATTAGATAACGTGATATAAAGTTACTTCCCAAAATGAAATTAATGATAGGTTCAATAACTACGATTGAATAATAAATACATCCAATATTTCGTTTTGTCCTTAGCAAGGTTTTGGTAAAGTGGTCTCATGAGACAGCGAAAGAACCATGCTATTTGGCGCGCACCATCGCAGACTATGCTGCCAGATTCGGCGCAGGTGAGTCTAATCTCTAAATGGCATCAGTTTTACTCTAGACTCTTTTGCACGACGTCTCGGCCAAACATCATTTAGAATCTCATTCCAAACAGAGTTCTAAAAGAATTTATTGCAAAGGGGAAATAAAAATAGAATAACAATTTGTTAATAATAGTTTCTTTAAAAAAAAAAGGGGGCGCTTTATAAATAAAAAATATGAAAGCGAAGAGGAAGTGTGGTATAATAAACCATCTGATGTCCATTTACACAAAAATTAATAAAGTAACACTGGACCTTTCAGGAGTGTCAAACTTTAACAACTGACCAATCAGAATAGGGCCAGCAATACGTGGTCTCACCAGCACACGTGTTGTCCCACAAAAAACGCACGTATTTGCGTATGTGTTAACACTGCCGTGTCAACTTGGCCGTGTTGTGATAGCAACAATATCCAAGGGGCGGGGCTTAGCGGAAAGGTTCGTTTCGAATTATTTTGTGAGGGGGAATGTTATCGATGACGTCACAACATAAGTTGTGGCTCTCATTTCATTATGCTTCATGCTTAAAATTGAAAAAAAATAGTTTTGTGTTTATACATAAAAAGTAAATCTTCCCTCCCACTGACTTTTATACAATCGAAGTCATATTTATAGATTTCCTAACTAGTAGTATAAATAAAGTTTATATAATATTGAAGACCTAAATGGGGCAATAAAAAAATGTCGAAAATCGTCTTCTCACATCTTACACATAATAATCATTACTGTATTTAATAGTAAGGATAGTCCTTTTTTTCCATTTCCATGGTAATAACATAATCCCGAAGCATTTGATAAATTTGGTGTTACGCGAAATCTGTAGTTTATTTTGACGACTTGACAAGTTCTTCGTCCTTCGTTCCGTGCTTGATTATACGGACAAATGCATAGTAGTCTAAATTGCCATCATCATCAATTGGTGCCCCTTTGTACATTTGATCCACCTCATCCTGGGTATAGCGTTCTCCGCTCTGCATCATCTTAGTGGCAAAGCTACGGAAATATAATCATTATCAATGTGTGTAAAAAACAGTGGAATATCTTTCTAAAAAGTCCAAATATTAAACTTACGAACACGTCATTATCATTATCGTCATTCATGTCTCAAACATTCTTGACAATATACTGTTCGAGCTGAATATAATATTTGATTCATACAAAAGACATAAATCGCAGGCCTAAGCCATGACAGATGTACTCTGTTGGGGAAGGGTTGTCTAAAAATTGAACCGTACCGTACGTAATATTCGTTATCGTTTTTGTAAGTTTGCGAAAACTCCCTAATGTTGATATTGTCGCGGATGATACGATGATGTTGATGATAAAGTCAATGATAATAACATGGTTTTATAGAACCATAAATACGTTTTTATATAACGTAATTTCTGTCTAATTGTTTGCACAATATACCCACAACGCCCATAATGTTTGCGAATACTATAATAACGTTTGGCGTTTGCTGGGCCGGAAATGATTGATAACGATGATGATGTTGACGATAATAATGACGACAGTGATGATGATGATGATAATAATACCAGGGCCAGATTTAGAGGGGACTGGACCCCTCCCTTTTGGAGAGTAAAAAGAAAAAGAAAAAAGAAAGAAAATTTATCACCCAAAACGCCTCAGATGGTATTTTCAGGCGTCTAGAATGCAAAATTCAAGGCAGTATCGTCTCGATCGGCCCCACTTTCGCCCCCCCCCCTTTTCGGACATCTGTGGATCCGCCCCTGAATGCGACGATTATAATAATACAGCGCTTTAAATATCAGTACATGACCTGAATGTTAATTAACAAATAATTATAAAAAGAAATCATTTTTTTATGTATGGAAATTAAGAACTATACTCACTAATCTTCATTTATCGTTTTCTTCCCTTCTAGATCAAATAGTTTGAATGCATTTAATATCGTGTCCTCCGGGTCCGTACCATTTAGTTTTTCACCAAATAGTGTGAGAAACATGGTGAAGTTGATCGGACCGGGTGCATCGGCTACCATAGCATCTAATTCTTCTGCTTTTGGTTCTTTACCTGTTACGAATTATAACATGACAGTTAAGTACAATATTAAAGGAAAAGTCGATCGAGGTGCAATGGTATTTTTATGGTAGGCCCTAAGTAATTTAACTGTTCCCTGATGATACCAAATTAGTTATCTGGATGTCAAACCACAAAATAGATATAGGCTAATGCAAAAATTGACGAACGTTTGATGTAACAGTCCCGGCCCTGACGCACTCGGGAATTCTCCCAGATTGGCCACCGTCAAATAGTGATATTGACAAAAAATATCCGAACGAATAAAGACTGACCAATGATCAGCGCCGTGGTCGAATCTGCAGCAGGCCTATGTCCATAAAGATTAGTTTCCATAAAATCACTACACTTTCGCTACAGCATTTTCACTACAATCGTTATGCCTACACTGCGCACGTACGGTACCTCTCTCCGAAGCATTCCAATCAACCGAGCAATCAGCGTCGCCAAAATCTTTCGTCAATAGCGTGTAGCGAGTTTATGGAAACCATGCTTAAAGGTACACAAGTTATTATCATTATACTGTATAACACATACACATATATTTAAGAGTTTACACCGGATGATGATGTTAATGATGATTAAGACTAGATGTGTTCAGTTTCTCGCTGTTAGATATACACAATTTTAAGAAGTCAGGAGACACTATTGTGTCATGTACACAGGTAGAGATCTCACGAAGTGTACCGTACTCACCCATAGAGGCGAACATGTCTTGTAAATCCTCCCTGTCGATGAAACCGTCACGGTTCTGATCGATCAGTGTGAAAGCCTGAATGACATACAAATAAACGAAAATATATATTTATATATATCATGGTCAATTTAGATACCAAACAATAATTGCTTGCGTTCCCGTCAACGCGTTATCAACGATTATAGTGTCAACCAATACACACCATTACGCATGATGCGTACGTGCGTTTATGGGGGTGGTACGGACGTTCACGCAGCACCCTGGATTTTAACTTGCGGATCACCATGGCACCAATAGCATAATCATTACGTAACTACAGTAGGTCTGCTTTAAAATCATATTTTTCAATTTATGTTAATATTTTATGAAAAACAGTGCTCTGAAAAAGCGCTCGACACGATATTATTCACATTCGCCTCGTTTACGATTGGATGATTGACGCGGTGTGTCAATCAAAAATCAGGTGAAATGTCGTAGTTCATATCATACCGTACCTCTTTGAATTCTTGGATCTGAGCCTGGTCAAACATAGCAAACACATTAGACGTGGCACGTTGCGCACGCTTCTTGCTAGACTTTCCCTTCTTCTTTGCGCTGGCCTATGAAAACAAAACAAAAACAAAACAAAATTAAATTGTGAAATATTAAGAACTTTTCAGCTATATGAGAGATAATCGAAAAAAAAATACATCCAATCGATATAAGTCAGGCACATAGCACCGGCGAGTCTGTATTCATATTTTAAACACCCTGATTACCGATATTCCATTTGGAATATTATTGATTGTAGATTTATAAATGTGTGTAATTTGGAAAAAAAATTAACATGCAGACCTATTTGTAAGCCATTTCAATATTACGTTTAATTTATATCATAAAATTAGAAATGTCTTTATATTCAATTGGAGAAATTATACAATACATTGATCAGAGGAAAAATTATATCTTTAAAAAAAATACACACAATTCAATCCAAAGAATGCTCGCGCAAGTATTCAAAAGCGAAGGTGTGACCGTAAGGCATCCCAAATGATATACGGTACCAATTGAAAACATGACTAGATAAACATAATCTTATTGCACTGCTTGTACAGCGCGAGGAGGTGGCTACTGTACATCGTGTAGCCAATTCAAGGAATGTGCGAGGTATTCGCGGAATGTATGGCAAGGATGATGCGCACTAGCCGCGGCCCGACTCGATTTCGCAGAGGTCACCAATTTGCGATTTGCATCCTGTAGCATAGGTTAAAGGTGTTTATTTACCGTGCAGCCAAACATAGACTCTTCAGCAAATATTACAAGAGAGTTACAACTTACATTATTATTAATCGACACACACCCCAGGGGCCTATGATGGCCATCTAGGCATAATATTTCGGAAAGTCGACTATATTCAACATTGTGAAAGTAGGTCATAGCAAGGCAGTTTTTTTATATTGTGATTATTTATATCGCTCACCAATAAAGTGTGAATATCAGAAATCATTTATGAAGGATTTGAGACTGAGATTCGGTCATAAAACTTAATTTTAATCTTGAATCCGGAATGAACGATGTAATTTCTGAGCCATACGCTTGTCCCTTCGAGTCAATTAATGTCTGAAATGAATGGACTTCCAATTATGGTAAGTTGCGCCTAAGAGAGCATCTTGCCGCACGTGAAATTCAAACCCATTCGAATGAGAACTTCGTTGTAAATATATTGCTTCTCAATAGCTACGATGGCATTAATAATAACATTAATTTTCACAGTTGTAAGCATTACATTATTAATGCTCCATTAAACGGAAACAAATAGCTATTGCACATAAGCCTGGCCTATAATATTATTATTACCATTTGGAGGTGTATTAATTTGGGATATATTTTGAATGAGTGGATGTCTTTAATTAATGATGTTTACCCATGCAATATGGGAGGGGGTGTCATTGGAGGGTATGCGGATGGCTCATCGGTCGCCATACCATCAATGTTTACAGTACCGTATCTAGCAGACTTATGGGGAGCTGATAGGGGGAAGGTGGTGTGGGGATCGATAAATTAGTGAGGAGCACTAGGTCGAAAAATAAGGTGATTACTTGAGCGTGATCTTTTTGCTTCGGACCTTTACGTGAGCAGTGGCGGCGCCAGTGGGGGGGGGGAGAAACAGGGTGGGTATTCCCCCGTCGAACAGGCCTGGACCCCCTGTCGTCCGACGAACGACTAGGTCGCCGTATCAGAAATTTAAAAGAAATAATAATTTGCCTATATAAATAACGCTATTTTGATTGCCAATCCCGAATATTGTGGTCTAAAAGCATACTTAGGACCAAATTAAGCCATAAAAATCTTCCCATGAACCTTAACCCTTTATTCCGGGCCGTCGACCGAGGATTCGTCGTCGCCTTGGTTCGGAACCCTTGGACACGTCGGACCTCTGAGTCGGGAAATTTCTGGCACCACCGCTGAAATTGAGGGGTTAGTGGTATGGGGGGGGGGGGACTTTTTGTTTATCGTCCCTTTGTTTTTTTTTTAGCGCATAGAGACCAACTGCACAAACCATTGATCAACACATATTATATAATATCCAAGTAGAATTCTCTGCTTTTAATAACTCTTAAAAAAGAACATTTGCAGATCATGTTTTAGAAAAGAAAATCGGTTGGATTGGTTGGATAATATCGAAAAACCAATCAGCTTAATTAATACGCTATAGTCTCTGTAATGATTCCCAAGCTACAAGCATTTATGTCCATCCAATCCAAATTTAGGTAAGGCGCATAATACGTTGTGCCAAAGCGAGAGAGTACTTCGAAAAAAGAAAACAATGGGAGAAAACAGTACATAAAAGGAAAGGAAAAGGTGAACAGAAATAATTAAACAAAAGAAACTAGCTATAAGAATAAAACAAGACATTGAGTCTAAAGTTTGTTTAGTTGTTGAAGCCTCATTGTTGATGATACCTCCGCATCAGAAAAGGCCATGAAAATCAAACAATCAAATAATAATGGCAAACATTGCCAAAATACAATTAACGCACCGATAAATCAAAACTTTGCTAATGATATATAAATTAAATCTTACTTTCCTATGTATGCAATGTTATTACAGTAATAAAGGCTGTACTATATTAGCCGGGTGACAATCCTACTGCAGGCTACAGAAGGCCCATACGGGGCTTCTAATTGTTGAGCAGAATGACTAATATTTAATTAAGAATGCTAAGTTACTCACCATTTTGACTAAAGGTTGGGACTACTTGACAAGTTGCGATGCACCGGGGAAAGAGACAACTTGTAATACACTCTGTGCCCATCAAGACCTCTAAAGCTTCGGTGCTTCTAAGATAGTGACGTCACAAAACATTCCTAGTGTCTTCCATTACTATATTAGGGGTACCATTTATTAACGAACACTCAAAACTCTCATTATCCAAGTAAAAAATAATATACAAAATATCCGTCTTTTATATAATATTATTAAATTGTATGTATATGAATATATTAGGTTTATTTATTTTGTGAAGAATATTTTTTTTATTAGCTCTTATTTTAATTACCCATGAGATAATGGTAGGCTAAAGTTTAAGGGTAGCTTGGAATTCTGACACTGCCTTATTTAGGCAAACATTAAACAGACAGGCCTTCCAGGCTGTGACAGACATCTTATACCTTTGGAGTACTGTGTTACGGATACTAAGGAATGGTACAGACCAATAAAGCGTTTAATCACAAATAAAAACAAAGACAAATTTAGTCAGCCTTACGATAGTAAAGAAGGCGGAAACACGCGGTAAAACGCACCCATCCCATTGTGGTCGGCCGGATGCCATGGTAACACTGTCAATATGGGTGCGTCAAATAACGCGAAAAATGGCATGTATCATCCTAGTGGTTTAATCAATCAATCAATTAATCATTATTTTATTTTATTTTATTTATTTATTGTTTTTTTTTTTTGACTTACAGAAAAATCTTTCAACGATTCATCGTCTGTTGGGTTTCTAAAAAAAATATAGGAAAGTGGAGTAAAGTGAGCATTAAATTAGATTAAATTTCAACATAATTATTAATTTAACAATTTAATGGATAGGCTGAACCGTCTCTATAATAACTCCATGGTGCCACATACTGGGAAGATTTTCAAAAGTTCAATGTATTTAACACAGGCAGTGCTTCAAAACAATGTTTTCATTTTGATGTGCCTGAACACTACAAGGATTTTTAAACAGTACCGTAGTTAAAAGTCTTTGCTTTATAAAGAAAAAGATTTACAAGTGCATATCAGGTGTTAAATAAGCCGGAATTGGTTTTCATTGAAAATCCAACAGACAGATTAAAAAATCTTATTTATTTTTAAAGAAATTTTACTGCATGGAAGTGAAAATTATAGCTGGAAATTGTTTATAACCCTTTGTCTAATTTGAACAGAATGTGTAGTATCGCTGCATGGTAGGTCTTTAAAAAAATTCTTAATTAGATGAGGAAAACTGTGCCTAATAAGACATAAATCGTGGCAGAGGAATTTTAATGACTGAGTGTTTGCTGATATCCATACAAACTGTCTCTTATACACATC